GCCTTCTACCGTCCTTCTGGAGAAATATGATCTGTACTTGTTTGAGTTTTGTGTGGGCGTGCAAAATGCATTTACGCATGTTTGTAGGAATCCAAGAAACAGAGAGAAGATCTTCAGAAGCTTCGTCAATCAGTATGCTTAGTAGCCAATCAGTTCATGTTTGTCAACTATTGTCAGCTTGATTCATGCTTGCAGCATCCGATTCGATCTTGTCGATTAGTTTATGTGCTCACATGCAATGTAAATACCCATCTCGCATCGCTATCGCTATCGCCATCAGACAAGCGCAGCTGGCTCGACGGGCAGACAGGAGAACATAGTGACCCGGGGCGATGGTTCCGGAACGAGGATCACGACTAAAATGGGTTCTGCCGTGACGATAAAATTCAAAGCCGTGTTCTTCACTTCGCGAAGTTTTTCCCTTGTGATCTTTGAAAACGGCAACCGGGTTTTGCAACATTGCTCCAGAGAAATTTTCCTCCGGAATCTTTGAAAATGATAGCGAAGATTTTTGCTAGGTTTGCTTGAGGAAGGCGGGGCCTCACGTGACGTTGCGCAGATAATGACCCGACGTTTGCGTCCTGTGTTTCATCGTAGATTATTATTATAACACTTTGCTGCTCTTGAGTCGGTTGTCAAAGCACTGAGGTTTCGATGCCTTTGGTGATTGGACAGCACCCAAATGAAAAACACTCGAGTGATATTGGAGGCGCCTAGCGGACAAAATCGATGCTTTCATTCGGGCCAATTCAAGGGCCTTCCTATCTCGGGTACGATGCGACATGATACGCATGGCACGAATCATATATTGGTAGAGATTTAATGATTTGGCATCTTAATTATGATTTTTGATTTATCGATGCTAGCACGAGTTACAATTCGCGTAACGTGTTATCGCCGCAAATTATGCATTGGTAGCTAACTCGTTAACGATACGGAGTCATCTCTCCTCGGACATATGCTCAAGTCAAAGCAATTTTATCGACCTAATCGAGAGTGAAGCATGTAAACATTATTAGATCAAGTCGTTGTCGTTTGTAAATCTTTTGCTTCTTTTTTTTTTTTTTTGCCTTTTTGATTAAAATCTCATTTCCATAAATCAATGTTTGAAATTTAGTAAGACACCGGTAGAAACATGGCATACGATAGATAGATGATTCGCTTCTGGATTGAGCCGCGTAAAGTTTGGCGATCTCGAGAAAATGAAAGTAGGAATCGAAAGCTCGGATGAAGAATAGTGTTCATCCTCCTTAAGTAAGAAAAAATAGGCCGGGTTTTTTCAATTTCGCGTTTTAATTTTCATTAAAATGAATCAGTAAAGGAAAAGAATTGGGAAGCATTTACAAGGAAAACAATTGAATGCAAACGAAGTAGTTTGGAAAACGATTATCATTTTTGGAGCATAAATCACATTTTACCAATTTCATTGCTGACAAAGATTCATTATTTCACTTACGACACACGTACAAAAAAAATTGAATGAAAAAGTCATTTTTAATAATTTGGAATTCAAACTGTTAAATAAAATTTTTAAAAAAAAGTGATGTAGAGAGCTGAACCTGCGCAAATGGTGGGAATTAGTAAGGGATTGAATTTGAGAGATTTGAAATTTCTCTGGGCCCTTCGTAATGATGCTCCTTAGCGGGTGGGCCCATCCATATTGACTTACCCTAATGTCGCATTTTTCTCTGTAAATTCTCTCTATACCTAAATATTTTCGTGAACAATAAAAATATTTCTCGTCCATATAAGCGATACAAGCGAATACTATTAAAAATAAAACAAATTTTAAATAATTCATTTTCGCGAAACGAATCGGAGTCTAAATTGTTTTGTTTTGTTTTTCTTGTGTTGTAATGATGTTGGTACCTGTGGCCGCGGGGCAGTATCAATAATGACGTCACTGTTTCCTGATACTTTAATGTTACTTCCGTCTCTGCTTGGGACAAAATAGAAGATGCAACTTTGGACTATGCTTTTCTAACGTAAATCGACTAATTATACGATTTTAAAAAGCACTGGCCGTGACCCTTAACCAATAATTAAACCCCACGAAAACTAATTATTTCGGTTGATAAGGTAGCCCGACATAGTAATAAATATGCCGTCTTACGTGCCGACATCTTTACGTTGCTAGATTTGCAACATCGAGCGATGGAAAGGAGAGTTGGTACGCCGATTGACCCTTCCTGCCCCTTTTATTTCGTTTAAAAAAAGATAGATGGTTTTCACCGTTACCGCCTGTAAATTTTGGTGCGAACTTGGAATATTATACGTGCGAATTTTCTCTTTCACTAGCTTGACGTGTTAGTCGGTCAACTGCTACTGGGCTTCTACTGTTGACACAGTATGATGTGCAATAATTCAAATGGTTGACCGAGGAATAATGCCTCGGGGACTTTACACCTTGTCCTGGATTTCGACTCTGATTCCCCCATGATTTCTCTTTGGGTTCGGCCACGATAATGTTGTTTTCTGAATCCTCTTATCCTAGTATATATGACCATCAAGTTTGGAAAGGTTAACTTAATTCAATATTCGAAAGGTGACTCTAGTATTGTCCGATCCAGACAAATCCAAATGAAAATGAACCGGATAAATGTACCAGAAGTCGCAAAATTTGTCACGAAAGTGCAATCGAGTGCTAAAACTTATCAAATTAGTGCAATCAAGTCATTATGTAAACTCAATCCAATTAGGCTAATGGGAAATGTTAGCGTGGCTTTTTTTAATGATTCACGGCGCTAATGTGGTATTTGTTAAAAAAATTTGAAGAAAAGAGCTGCTGATGTGGATATTCTTCTTCTTTTTTTAATCCACTTTGTTGTATAGTGATATTCAGAAAATTAAAGAAAGGCTAAAAGTACAAAAACTGAAAATATGAAAAGAGGCAAGGGGCTGCAGGCCTCCCTTGCGGCCTTGTCTGGTGGGGCAACACCGCTGCCATTGGCGAAAAGGTCGGCGACCCTTGCTAGATCTCTGGGCAAGAGCTGCCGGTCCTCCTTGGAGGTCCCAGGACGAAGGTCCCATTGTCCAGTTTGATCGGAAGACGTTGCCGAAGAGGGAAACCAAGTATGTCGAAGTGAATTGCGGATGTTGGCGGAACTCTACACAAGGCTCGGCTTTCTTCCCGGTCACGCCTAGTTCTCGTCGACACAAGGGTCACCCGTTTCTCGCACGTGATGGTCAAGTGGCAGGTTTGGGCCAGGTGCGGTGCCGAGTTATCTTGGTCCGTTGGCAAGTGATGGACGAAGAAGAGAGAGATCGTCGGGATCCTCGCCCACATCTGGAGAGGACCGACGGAACTTGCCTAGATCTAGGCGAGAGCCTATAGGCCCTAGTCTCTTTTTTTCTTATTTTAATTTTAGGCTTATTTTAATTTTGAGCAAAAGCCACCAAAAAATCTAAACTATGTCCATTGCGATACATTTACCTTAAATTTTATTCTGTGACACGAAAAATCCCAAACTTAAACCTGTGTGACACATTTACCTTCCGTCAAAGTTTTGTCAGTGAGAACATTTAAAAATATACCTACATGGACGCAAGAAGTAAATGGTGTTACATGGCGCCCAGGTGGCACAAAAACGACGTTATTTTGATTGAAAAATCATCTAATGATAGAAGGTAAATGTTTTACATAGGTACAAGTTTTGAATTTTTTAGATCACAAGAAAATTTTTAAGGTAAATGTGTCACAGCTGGCATAGTTTATGATTTTTTATGTCACAAAATAAAATTTAGGGTAAGTGTGTCACAGTAGACATAGTTTGTGATTTTTTCCCTTCAATTTTTTTGAATTTCACTATACTTCAAAGTGGACCAAAAAAGAAGCATATCCACGTCGACTCTTTTCTTCAATTTTCTTTTATAAAAAAGCCACATTGGCGCTACATATTAATAAAAAAAATCACGTCAATATTTTTTGTTAGCCTAATTGGACGGAATTAACGTAAGTACTTGATTATACTTTCTGAAAGTTTTAAGATTCAATTGCGCTTTCGCAACAAATTTTAGGACTTCTAGTACACTTATTCCTAAATGAATATGCAACATCCTACCTCCAAACACCAAAGCATCGCTCACCTAATAATTCGTAAAAGGGACCGATGGTACATTTAAGTGAAAACCCGTTATAGGAATTAAGGGATCATTTATATATATATATTTTGCAAATCGTCAAATTTTCGCGAAACAAACGAATCATAAGCGGATGTACTTATTTGGACATTCAATATAAGTTCATCACGTCATTGGATTCCGGAGAATATATGAAAATGACGATAGTCATATCGATAGTGTGAAATGATCAGATAAATCGGTATTCCGAGCGAGAGTGTTATCGCACCGTCAAATAAACGGTTTATGAAGTGATGCGACGGAGCTTTACGACCCGATTATTCAAAAGTCCAATTACATCCCGTCATGTATATAGATTTTGGTATAACTTACATGCATCAATGCATACAATTCGAATATCAATATTAAGGCTCCGTTTATTTCATGAAAAATGAATTATTCGGAAAATATTTTCCAAAAAGTAGTCGCTTGTATCGTTCGAAATAATTAGTCAATGAAAAATATTTTCATTACGCATAATAATTTATATCTAAATATTTTTTCGAACGATAAAAGCATTTTCTGTTCATTTTTTTTTTTGTAAACTATACGATAGATCATTCGTTTTTTCGCGAGGTAAAGGGAGTCTCGGTGCTAGAAAGAGCTGTTGATAACTCATCTTCTCTTTCCGTGAGATGTTGTTGGTAAGGAGGGGAATGCAACTTTAGTAAGGGAGAGAACAGTAGTGGAGACGCACCGAGAGACCAAACATCCAACGAAGAATAAAATTTGACCATCCACCACTAATCTCGTCACATCGATCCGCGTGCGACAAGTTCATTGTCCCATGATGTAACAATGCAACGTTTAATCCCCCGCATGAACTACCAAATTACCCCTACTCTCTCTCTCTCTCTCTCTCTCTCTCTCTCTCTCTCTTACATGTGTGTTCATCTTCACACACTCTCCCTTCTTCATACAGAGTCGGCTATAACGCATGGAATCAAATGCTTTCTCTCTCTTCCTCTCCCTGTTGTTTTTGTTTTTGTGTTTTCTCTTTTTGGTGTGTGTGTGTGTTTCCAACTTTTTGCTTTAAGACCAGCAGCAGGCTTGAAAGTTGGCGATTTCCTTCTCAAACACTCCATTAAGAGCCCTTTTTCTCCCTCCTCTTTTTCCCAGTCTTCACTTCACCTTTTCAGCTTCCTCTTAAGCCATGGACAGCACCGCACCCCCATCTCAGTGGACTGCACAGGTACTCCTCATCTCCCTCCCCCCCAAATACAATCATTTTCAGCTGAAAATTTTGCTCTGCTCAAATTGGTAGTTGGGGGCCTTGTGGATAAGAACTTTTCTCCTCTCCTTTGTTGGATTGCTTTGTTCCTTCCCCGTCGACTTCAAATCAAAAAGGAAAAGAAAGGGGAGGAAAGAAAAGAAAAGTACCTTTTTCCCCTGTGAGATGATGTTCAGCAAGCGAAAACCCTCCACTAAATACACTTGAATTTTATGTTGCTGTCGTTTTGGAGATCTTTCTTGAGTCCTTGAAAGTACTGCATACCTTTTTCTCCTTCTTCTTCTTCTGTCTACCTTCTGAAAAGTTGTGATGATTTGTTTGTATCGCTCTCTTCTCACATAATCTCTCATCCAAAAGCCTTCAAAGCACCTTCTTTGCTTTGGTTTTCTCTGTCTTTGTTTGTTTCCTTTCTTATTCCCCTTGTCTCTCTCTCTTTATTCCGTTTTCTTCATGGCTTCCTTCCTTCCTGTGGTTCTTTGAATTTCAGGGATTCATTGGGGTGATTAGTAATAACCCACCAATGGAAATAGCATCATCAACAAGGCCTGCGTCTGTGAGCTTGCAAGAGATCAAGACTCCATGTGGAACCACAACAACAAGCAGGCCACAAAAGGATCAAGCCCTGAACTGCCCGAGGTGCAGTTCAAGCAACACCAAGTTCTGCTACTACAACAACTACAGCCTCTCTCAGCCTAGATACTTCTGTAAGACCTGTAGGAGGTACTGGACTGAGGGTGGGTCCCTCAGGAATGTCCCTGTGGGCGGTGGCTCCAGGAAGAACAAGAGACCCTCTTCGTCGTCTTCTTCTTCACCATCATCAAAGATCATCAAGCTTACTGATCTGGTGGTGGGCCCGTCAAGCCTTCCTCAAAACCCTAGGACTCATGAAGCCCAACAAGACCTAAACTTAACATACCCACCCGATACTACTGCTACTGATCAACACAATCTCAAGAGTAGCAGTGGAATTATTGCCTCCTCTTCAATGGGATTGAGCTTAAGCTCCTTCATGCCGCCCATTCCGGTAGTATCTGACTCAAGCTCCAATTTTTATGCAGTCGGTGGCTTGAATTTCCATCATCTTCTTGGACTCAAACCCGCGACAGCCTCACTTGGTAGTTTTTCTGGAGATGGGTTTGAGAGTGGTGGCTTTCTTGGGCACCATCAAGGGTTGCAAGAGAGTGGCAATGGTGATAACAATAATGATGGTGCAAAGCTCTTTTTCCCTGTGGAGGATGGTTTGAAGCATCAAGTGACTGCAACTACTGGCGTTGATGGTCAGTTTGGTCTTCAAAGTAGAGGACAAGGAGATCATTCAAATGGGTATTGGAATGGAGTGTTGGGCACTGGAGGATCGTGGTGATTGATTGAGAAGATTAGTATTCGATCACCATCACACACTTCAAGGGTTTGATTTTTTACTTTAACCTTTTTATTTCTTCTCGTGGGATTGGATCAACTTGGTTGGGTTGGAGAGTTTGATGGGAACTAACAACAATCAGGGTACATGAGGCTTTCACCCTTTCCTTCCTTCCTTTCTTTTGCCTATTATTTTCTCTCTCCCTCGTCTTTGAAGCTCATTTTGGGTTGGCTTCAGAAGCTAGTCTTGGAATACTGTATTATGTGTTCTCAAGCATGGAATAGAGAATTAGAGATTAGCTTAAGCGAAGTCAAATAGTCGTTACTCAGTTTGTATAGTTTCAAGATGTCTGAATGATCGATTGGTAATTATCTGTGCGAGTATGTTCACTTTTTGTGTTTCTTTTTTTTTACTCCTGAGCATGAATGAGTTGGAATGATGGCTGACAATCCTCTCTCTCTCTATCTCTCTCTCTCTCTCTCTTCTTTTTCCTTTGAAGATGAGTCAGAGAAGGAGAGGTCTTGTCAGCAACATCTGGGTCTTTGAGAGATTCTCTTCTTTTTTCGCCTCCATGAAAGCAGCTTCATGGAGCAAAGTTGGGATCTGATCTGGATGAAAAGATTAATTACCAGAAAGAAGGGAAAGGACCAGCTAGGGTGGGTACGACCCATCATCTTTTGCTTCACATGGCATGCCACTTTGAAGTCATGATGATGATGATCATCATGATCATGATGCAGGCTCCTCTTGACGATTAGATTACTCTGTCATCAGTAGAACAAAAAAAGAGAGATCAAACAATAAGGAACACCTTGCTATAAAGTGCCCCTACACTGTTTATCTAGCCATCTGCAAAAAAGTATGTAGCTTTTGATACGTTAATCGCACATGTGTTAGACACTCGTTAAGAAAATCTTGTTTTGGACAAATAACGCGGTAGCTATTTTTTTACACGAGCGAGTAATATCCACTTCTATGTAACAACCCGTCGCGACTTTTTATGGTAATGTCAGTAAATTTTGATATTGTTCAGATACTTAATCTTCCCTCGGAGAATTTTTACTGATTCACGCATCTCCCCCACCATTCCAAGTTGCAGTCGCTCAGTCCCAACGTGGTTGGGATTACATGTTGATGGCAATGCGATCCATTCCCATGAAACATCATTACTCGTTGCGAAGCCCAATGGAAATATTCCGAGCTGCTTTTGTTCATTTGACGACAAAAGGAGCTGCGAGATTTCACAACCCTCTTCTCTCTCTCTCTCTCTCTCTCTCTCTAACATGAGCAGGGGCCCCGCCAAAACATTCCCCTCGGTAAGCGCAGCCGTGAGGGCAACATTCATCTCTCATCCTCTCAGGAAAAGATCTACGCGATGTCGACCTTCAACACCCATGACACAGATTCGTTCGTTCCTTCGTTCGTTCATCCGAACGTGCATTCGTGTTCGATGCTTGATAGCCGACTGTAGTAGCTGCGAACACGGTTGAGACGGAATGTAGGAGACCCTTTTGATGATCGGATGAGCATCGGGACCGATTGCGAGAGAGAGAGAGAGAGAGTCCGATAAATGCCGGGTTCGGTCGGCCGAGGTTGCCCACGCACGTTGTTGGCTGCTGTTTGTGTTTGAGCCGTGTAGGGGAGGAGCATTCTTCATGATTCATCATCATTATTGGTATTATGATATGAGGATAGTGGTCAATGGAATTGGGCGCCACCACCGCCACCACCACCACTATTTCCATGAAAAAAGGGTCACTTTCTTGCCAAACTTGGGGCCATCCATCTCCCCTCAGCTCCCCCCCTTGAACCTTTCTCTTTGTTCCTCTAGATTTGTCAATGCAATGGGCAGGACTCCAAAACATCACTTGGCCCTTGTACGTTCGGTGATAATGGCATATGATAAAAATGACCCACTAAAACTCTTGTCGTGAGCTGTCGTCCCCCGATCGCATTAATGTCGTCGTCCTTCGAAGATCGGTGGTCTCGTCGATCCGAAGCACTCGCTTCTGTTCATCCAGATTGTCGCGCTTAGTGGACTCCGGCATCGAGGGTTCGCGTTAGAGTTCAAAAGAGATCTGATTCATAAGATTGCTGCCTACAATGTGATGGCTTGATTTTGGGAGAAGCACATAGAGGGTAGAGGCGAGAAATAAGCTTCTATTGACAGCTGGTTTTCACAAAGGCTTAAGAGATTCATCGTATGAGGATGGGATTATTGGGTATCAAGGTATGCAGAATGTCATCTTCAGTTCTTGACTTCTTGGCAGCATTCCTACCCCCTTTCGATTTTAGATTCTTTGCTTCGAATATGGAGAAGATGTTCGAAAGGTCAGAAATGAAAAATACCTTTGAAGGTGACCGCCAAGAAGTGAAGGCGCCTGTCGTTGAACTGCGGTAAGGTCTTACGACTTTTAAATAATGTAATTAAGTCATAAAACGTATTCGAAAAGTGCAATAACGTACTTCCTTTAGCTCTTCACTTTTGGCTATTGAGAAATGATGACGCAATGTTTATTAGAATCTTTGGAACAACATCCTTAGTCATTCAAATTGGATGGAATTAACATAATTCTTAATTACGCTAATTGGATAAATAAGGAAGGTACCAAAAAAGTTACGAACATATTGCATTGGTATCAATTCAGTCATAATTTTTTTTTTCATATTAATTGAGTTCTAAACATTTTCACATCAGTACCAATCAGGTACATCCGGCCAATTTAGGTTTGAAATTGCCGACATGAACTTTGGCCACCTTGCACGACACGACTGGAGCTGAATTTTTTCTTCTCTTTTCCTTCTTTTCAATTTAGGGGCCCCTCGCCATCTGGGATTTGCTCTCGTAGAGAAAAAATAATAAAAAATATTTGAAAAATATTTAAAATTAAAAAAAAAAATTCTACGTCAACACTAGCTATGTCATATAACATGATTGGCGTCCACATCAACAATTTCCTGCCTAAATTGGCCAGATAGATTCGATTCATACCAATGTGAAAATGTTTATGACTAAATTAATTCAATTAAAAGATTTAGAGCTAAATTAATACAAATACAGTAAGTTTAAGACTTTTTTTAATACTTTTAAATATTATTTGAAAATTTCGAGACTTTGCATCTGTTTACATGTTTCAAAATTTGCAACGCATTTGTCATGAAACACATGATAATCATAGTGTATGCTACATCACCTTGACAAATCAAGAACTCAACCGACTAAATTGTCAGATTATGTAGACAACAACCCATGGTAATCATTACAGTTTTGACTTTTTCCGAGCGACAAGTAGAAAAAATCAACAACCAGCTGTGCAACTTTTGTCGACATTTCTCGCCAGAAATCGACCAGATTTCCCTTAAAACTGTCTTAAACTATGAACTGCGGGGACCTTATCGGTCATCATTGAAAGCACAGGGACTAAATTGAAGAGAAACTAAAAGTAGAGGGACTCAACGCGTGAATTTACTGAAAAATATCAGGCTGTGGCGGGTTTAATCATGTTCGCGTAACCAAACAGGGCTACTTTCATATAATCCCCCTCCGTCGTCGCAGCTACGGCCCGACATGGCTGCGCATACGTTGGAGCCGCTCCCGGTCACCGTCTCCCCGACGAAGCCGCCGTCGCTCGGCCGTGGCTCCGGCGACGGCGCTGGTCCTCGTAAGGCAACCGCCATTCCCTTTCCGAGGGGTCGACGAGCGCGCGGACCTACGCATGCCGCTCAACTCTCGCACCGAACCCACTTGACTCTCCTCGACGGACCCGTCGATTCCTGCGCCTACGCTGCGATTCTCGAACCTTGCGGGTGCCCGAATCTCGGGAGGCAAGTGCACGGGCACGCACTCAAATGTGGGTTTCGCGGGCACGAGTTTGTGGAGACCAAGTTGCTCCAAATGTATGGCAAGTGTGGTCGTTTGGACGATGCGTTCAGGGTGTTCGATGGAATGCCTCAGAGGAACTTGTACTCTTGGGCAGGCATTATAGGCGCTTGTTTGGATCATGGGTTTTCCGAGGAGGGTCTCTTGTTATTTCGGGAACTACAACTCGAGGACATTGAGCTGGAGTTTTTCTTGTTCCCGATTGCGATGAAGATGTGCAGCGGCCTTGACGCGGTAGAATTAGGTAGGCAAATGCACGGGATGGTGATTAAGTACCAACATCTGTCCAATATTTACGTGTGCAATGCTCTTATAGATATGTACGGCAAGTGCGGAAGCTTAGAAGACGCGAAGAGAGTTTTGGAGAGTATGCCTCAGAGGGATCGCGTCTCGTGGAATTCTGTTATTACAGCTTGTATTGCCAATGGCATGGTCTACGAGGCGTTAGAGTATTTGGAGAAGATGCTTCGTTTGGACAGTTTGGTGCCGAATCTTGTTTCATGGAGTGCCGTCATTGGAGGATTCGCACAGAATGGTTATGATGAGGAAGCCATTGACCTACTAGCAAGAATGATTATAGAAGGGTTTGAACCGAACGCACGGACTCTGGCCAGTGTTCTTCCATCCTGTGCCAGACTACAAGAGCTAAAGCTCGGGAGAGAAATTCACGGCTACATAACAAGACACAAGTTCATGTCTAACTCTTATGTTGTGAATGGCTTAGTAGATGTGTACAGAAGATGTAGGGACGTGAGAAGTGCCGAAAACATGTTTGAATATTTTTCTGTTCAAAATGAAGTTGCTTACAACACCATGATGGTTGCGTATTTGGAGAACGGTGAGATATCGAAAGCCAGGGCCTTGTTTAACAGAATGGAACAGCAAGGTGTCAAGAAGAGTACTATCTCATGGAATTCACTCATTTCAGGTTATGTAGACAACTCCCTGTTTCATCCAGCTTTGGAACTGTACCTCTGTATGCTATCCGAGGAAGGGGTTCAACCTGATTCGTTCACTTTGGGAAGCGTTGTAACTGCTTGTGCTAATATGGCTTCTTTGAGGCAAGGAAAGGAGATACATTCTCATGCGATTGCTCTGGGCTTGCATTCCAGTCCCTTCGTAGGTGGGGCCTTGGTGGAGATGTACAGCAAGTGCCATGACATAATAGCAGCGCGGTTGGCATTCGATCAAGTGGCTGAACGGGACACGACAACATGGAATGCTCTAATATCAGGCTATTCCCACTGCGATGAGATAGAAAATATTCAAAGACTTCTTGAAAGGATGAAGCAGGATGATTTCGAGCCAAACATCTATACCTGGAACAGTATCTTTGCGGGTTATGTGGAGAATGGCCATCACGATTCGGCTATGATCTTGTTCTCTGATATGCAGAGTTCAAGTTTGAGGCCTGATGCCTACACGATTGCGATGATCCTAACAGCATCCTCTAGATTGGGAACAATGGACCGAGGCAAGCAGTGCCATGCCTACTCAATCAGGAGTGAATACGAATCTGATGTCTATATTGGAGCTGCCCTAGTCGACATGTACGCTAAATCCGGCAGCTTCGTGCATGCAATGCGGGCTTATGACAAAATTGCAAATCCTAACTTGGTGTCCCACAACGCCATGCTGACCGCATATGCAATGCATGGTCTTGGAGAAGAGGGAATTTCTCTGTTCCGTAGAATACTAGTGGAGGGATGCAAACCGGATCATGTAACTTTCTTATCTGTTCTCTCATGTTGTGTCCATGCTGGAACAGTTGAAACCGGTTGCCATTTCTTTGACTTGATGGCGTGCTACAATGTGAAGCCCACGCTCAAGCATTACACTTGTATGGTTGATCTACTAGGCCGTGCTGGGCAGCTCTCCGAAGCATATGAACTTATAGTGAAGATGCCGGTGGAACCGGATGCAGTGGTGTGGAGTGCATTGCTCGGTGGCTGTGTTATCTGCTGTAATGTGGATGTAGGAGAGATTGCGGCCCAGAAGCTTATAGAGTTGGAACCAGATAATGCTGGTAACTACACCCTGTTAGCAAATTTATATGCTCATGCAGGCAGATGGTCCGATCTGGCGAGAATAAGAAGGATGATGAAGGATAGGGGAATGCACAAGAGACCAGGCTATAGTTGGATAGAGGACAGAGACCATGTTCATGTTTTTCTTGCCTGTGACATGTCTCATGATAGAACATATGAGATATACGATGCTCTTGATACTTTATCAGTACACATGAAAAAGGGTTTTGGAATTTGTCTATGATTGTCAAGTCTCATGACGAGCAACTGCACCATGTCAATTTGTATAGAAATTACTTATGGTCGAAAAGGTTCATATCCGTAACTAGCATCTTTCTAGTAACAAGTGTGCAAAAAGGGGGCTGATTTTTGTACCCCCAAGGACCATGGCTCAGTACATGCCGATTGATTCAAGAACCCGACGAGCTTGAATGTGCAGAGCTGTCAATCTCTGTTCCGGATCAAGAGTTGAGCCAAATTGACTAGCTGCCCATATCAAGGATGCAGATTTCTCCCCCAGAAGCTGCCTTATATCTTCGTGAACAGTTGCCATTGGAGACTTGTCCCTCCCGTTTACATGCCCAATGAGCAGCAGCAAGAATTCCCCACACTTCAACCTGATCAGAGAGCAAAAATTTCATTTTTAATGAAATTCTTCACATGATAGCAAGAATTGTCAGAAAAAAGGCTTTGATTTGGGTTAAGAGCTGCCTGAGGTTCTCGTCGATTTGTTTGTCCCTTATGAGCTCTGCAACTTCCTCAATTCCATGGCATGACTCAAAGTCCTGTAGCAAAAGATGCAAATTCTTCAATGACATGTCTTCCACAAATCCCAGATGGCTCGATCTCTTTGAGCCTCTGTATTTTTTACGTCAGCCTCAACTACAAAAGCATGACACAAAATGCTTGCAACAGAGGAATGGCGCCTGGGAATGGGGGGAGGCAGCCTCTGACAAATGCTTGCAACTGTTAGACAAGATTGTAGTTATGCGCGACCCAGCCATTCCTTAACTACATCAGCAATTTAAGAATCACAAGTGCCCGTCTATTGAAAAAACCTATCTTACAAGATTTCAGATCATAAATTGAACGTCATATAATGCCATGCAACTACAACAAACTGAACCAATCACACAGTATGTTATAAACACTGTACGCACGGTACAGACAAAACCTCCATAGGTTGATGAACTCAACATTATTAATCTGATCAAGTAACTTGGCTTTTGTCCGTATTGAAGTAAGAAAGGAGAGATAATACCAGCTGATTGGCTGACGAATCCAACATGATAGAAATCAGAGCATCCAAGCAAGCACCTTGCTCCAGCACTCCCCGAGTGGAAAGTATGTTCATCATGACCTGTCCATTACCAAATGGATCTTAATCCAACAGTTAAGTTACACAGACTCGGATTTATCAGTAAACAGTAGGCTCTCAAACTCAGAAGAAAACTAGTTCATTTATTCCGCTCAAAAATGGAATGAGATATATAATTTGGAACGTGGAGGTAACCAAAGAACGGATCCAAAGATCTTAACAGAAGCCATCATTTGATGGCAAATATCTTTACAGAAGCCATAATTTGATAGGAAATAATCATTTCACCTTTCTGATAAAAAAAAAAAAATCATTTCACTTTACTCGATGCCTTATACTTTACAGCTGCTGATCAAACTGAAGTGCAATGAAACCTCCCACATACTCGAACCCTTCCAGTTCCTCATCCTCAAAGCAAGAATCATTTTCACATTTCAAGCGACAAGTTGTCATATCAAGCAACATGTAATTGTACCATATCGAAATCATACGATTATTGTCTTAAAGATTGATGCCAAGAGTCTGGCACAACTCTATGTCTATCAATAACGCATTTGTACTGGGCCGATACGTACAGGAATAGCCTTGTGCTGATGCGCCAAGATGGTGCTCTCGCTGTGAAGAAGACAGCAACCTTCTAAAACTCGAAGCGCCAGCGCAACTTCAGTATCTGTCGACGGGCTAGTTATCTTCAGAGGCTCAACGTCGAAAATATGATCCAAACTCGCCACATTGCCTTCCTCTGCATCTTTTAATGAATGTTGAAACAAGACTGGAATCACTGCAAGTTTCAAACAGACAAACATGAGTAAAACCAAACTAAACAAGTTACATGAAGAGATTCATTGATCATCTGTAGCTCTCGCAACAAACTGCTTTCGACTCCAGAACATGTGCTCATTTTACTGAAACGCGATTGGCCGGCTTCGCTAAGTGGTATAGCAGATCCATGATGTGCCTTATCTCTCATGGCCATTGAAAATCTCCAACAGGTCAGGTATCGTCAATCTGTCGATTTATATTTTCCCAAATCAAGATTTCTTCAAGCATACAATTTGATCAGGCACCGAAGAACGTGTCCTAAACACTCATCTACCAACTCCCAGTTCAGCTCAAACATCAAATCAAGTACGTAAACCAGAATAACAAACGAATGAAATTTGGAATACTAGCTCCTCTGCCATCTCGATCAAACAAGAACAATCAAAATCCACTAACTACTCCGTCCTTTTTCGAGCCAAGAAGCAAAATTTTTAAGCCTCCGATCATTGCAACCAACTCCTACATGCTAAATCCGTCTTCACACACACACACGCACCAAAAATTGAGAGGGAAACGTCGAAGCTCGGGAACGAACTGGCCCCGAGATTTCGAGTGATTGACATTGTCGCCTCGGTTAACCAAAAATACATTCCAAATCGTCTCATCATTCGACTCTTCTCCTTTCCAACAAACACAAAAAAGCGTCCCAAAATCCAAACTCCAAACAGAATCAGCAATCAATCAGAGAGCGCGACGAGGGAGCAAGGACCTTGGAGCTCGCGCACGGACTGGCTGAGAGCGAACAGCTCGATGGCGGTATCGGACTCGGAGACGGATCGGAGGAACTTCAGGAGGCCGCGGAGGCCGCGCACGCGGAGGAAGGAGAACTCGGCGCGGGCGTCCCGGAGGCCGGTCCGGAGGGCGAGGGTGACTTCCCGGTACACCCGCTGCTTCGTGAGCGAGCCAACGAGCTCCTCCACCACCGCGAGCGGCGAGTCCCGGTCGGATTCAGTGGGGGCGTCGGCGTCGGCGTCGGCGCCGTCGCCGGCGACGGGGCTGGGGCTGGGGTTGCTCTGCTTCAGTGCGTCGCTCCATAGAGGTTTCTTCAGGTACATCGCGCTCTCTCGGTCTCAATCCGAGCGGTCGCTTCCGTGACGGTGCGAGGCGATTGCGAAAGTCTTTCGCGGAAATGGAAAATGACACAAACAGTCTTTGAATTTTGATTCGATGTGTAATTTCATCCATGAGCTTTTAATTTATTCAATATAATCCCTGAACTTTAGCCTAATATTTAATATAGTCCTTAAACTTTTAATTTATTCAACGTGCTCTATGGACTTTTGATCCATGTTCAATATAATCCCTTAACTATTGTATATAGTTCAGGGATTATATTGAACATGTATCAAAAATTCAGGGATCACATTAAACAAATTAAAAGGTCAAGGGCAATATTAAACATTAGGCTAAAGTTCAGGGACTGCATTAAATAAATTAAAAATTCATGTACCAAATTATACATTGAGCCAAAGTTCATAGATTATTTGTGTCATTATCCCTTCCGGAAATGATGAAAATCGTTAGGGAGGACAATGACTTGGCAAAAGTAAAAAAAAGAAAAGAAAATTGGAAATTTTCAATTATAAATGCAATTTCATATTGGTCTCGATTTCCTGTAATTTTCTGTTTAAAGTTCATAACCATATTACACATTGAGTCAAAATTCATGGATCATATGACATTTTACATAATGAGTTGAAGTATTTTATCTTTTTGCAAAGGTTGGTTGATACACAAAAAACCCTTCAAACTGGTACATTCGTGACAAATTTACCCAAAATTGGTACGCTTGTGACAATTTTACTATCCATTAGTTTTCGTTAAGTTTTACCATTAAATTGACGGGTGTACCAATTTAGGGTTTTACCTCTCTGTTTGTTACAGATTTATCAGTTTGTGATTTTTCGCGATATTAATCCAATTTAATGGAAGATAAATTTGTCACAAGTGTACCGGTTTAGGGTTTTTTGTGGTCAAAAAATTAGCTTGGGTGAATTTGTCACATGCATACCAATTTAAGGTTTTTTGTGATAAAAAAATCAATCTAAGATAAATTTGTTACAAATATATCAGTTTGGAATTTTTCGTGATATTAACCATTTTGTAAAATTGCACCAATGATCCTCTATCGTTCCTCGATATTCAAAACTATCCCTCTACCTTGTTTCTTTTGTTACTCAAGAACGACTCTCTATTCTTTAAAAATGTTCTATTACTAAATCCTTTTGTTATATTCTTTCTATTGTCAATCGAATTTTGCTGATGCGAACCTTTTGATTGATAACATGTACCGTTTAGCTACACCGGCCTTCGTCCTTCCCTACCACGGCCGTCACCCCAAAACCTTGACCACCTCGCCGATGCTGATAGCACCGCTCACTACTGTCCAACTTGGATCTGATGGTCATGTTCGCGAGCTCACACTTGAGCAACCATGGCGTTGCAAGCTCAAGCGACGAGCGACAATGTAGCCTGCAAGCTCAGGCTCAAGAGGCCATGGGTGCCACAAGTTCGAGTTGAAACAGATCGCAAGCATGGACACCGTGATCCAACCAGTGGCCATGGGTATCACAAGCTCATGGCTTCAGTAGCCATGATGCACGCCGCGAGCTTGAGTGAATGCGGCCATAAATGTTGCGAGCTAGAGTAGGAGCAAATCATGACTGTGGACGCATTGAACTTGAGCAACCAGCAGCCATGGTACCGTGAGCTCAAGCGGATCATGGCCGGCCATAGACGCCGCAACCTTAAGCTCGAGCGACCGTGGATAATTTTGCCAAACATGCAAATATTTCAGTGTAATTTTGCACATAATCTTTTTATGTACAGTTCCATCTTTTGCTTATAAAAAGTACCAGACGATTACTTGGGATAAACATTAACGAGGAAGAGCGGGAGCATTGTTTCCTGTGAAAGGCTTCTAGCCAAACCATTCTCTTTCGGCCCCTAAAAGCCAGAATGAAATGCAGTCTTCAAGAACTACAGAGGCAGTTGCAGCGAGCGGGAGAAATGCACAAACAGAAGTGCTCAATTGAGTTTAAAGCAGCAAGCAGTCCATCTATGGCATCCCAACCCGAACCGTATTAGCCGTGTCTCGACTGAGAGCATTCGAGGAGTGATTACCAGTATTCGTATCTTGACCGATATACGGCACGTTCCACATTCCATGTCCAATCATAATTCATCGTCAGACTCTGAAATTTTGCTGGACAACTTACTTAAACCTCCCTTCAAGACAGAGACCACACAGTATATATATATATATAGATAGCAATCACTAGCCTTTGATGCCATAGAAATTCCCAGAAATACAAGAGAAAGTCGACGAGATTCACCAAAAAACAGAGTGACGATCATTTTGAGAGGCATCCACATTTACACAGCATATGGAAAGAATCGACAGTGAGAAACAATGACATTTCCAATTGGGAGAACATCTATGCACAGGACAAACATTAGCAACATTCAACGGATCAAATTAGGATGGAAATAGTCGAAAGCAGGCGGCTCATAAGCGTCGTGGAGTGCTACCAGTTTTCCTTGGCAATCTTTGCTTTCTCGAGTATGAATTTACCTTCTTTGTACTTCTGCGAAGCTTCGTAAGCTCTCTCGTATTTCCATCCCAACACCTCATGGCAGTCGGCACAAAAGATATCAGCAACAGTGTGAAGACCAGTTAGGAGATGCCTATCCTCTTTGCGCCCAACAACAATATTCATTGCATGAGAAAACAGAAAAGCTCGGCCATTTCTTCCCTAGGGACATGATTACGGAAACAAAATCATCCTGAAAGCTTTCATCTCAGTCAAACCAATCAAGGCCACAGAAATTCAACAAATACATAGTTGATCATGATTCTGCCAGAACTACCCGAGTACAATCTATTTATAATTCTTAAGAAGGAAAAAAAAGAGTCGTCAAAGGATCTATCGATGAATTTGAAACTCATCGTTCATATGCACAACCGATTATGATATATTAGCACACAATGATTGTCTCAATGCTTTAAAGATTTTGATTTTATCACGAAGAACTAAAGCAGAAATCTTACAACCGGATAGCCATCCTCCCTACTGAATCAAAATTGCCATCCAGTGAGAAAGGACTGACTCTATGGCCTACATCTTTCCAAACTCTCATTTAATAATTCGAAAGCCACATAAACATACAGATTGCAGAACCTACTGCAACCTCCATTGACATAACACAATCCAAACAATCGGCACTTCCTTTTCTTGAAAAAAATTTACGGACGCCTCACCTGGAAAGTCTTAGATATGATATCGTCATGCATCGAAACATCATTACGGCACTTGTAGCAGCTATATATCCGAGGCCCCACGATTTCCGCCATCAATCCGCTACCGAAGCTCTAGCAATCCAACTGCTTCAGCAAAACAAGAAGAACCGAGCTTAGGAACGGAAACGTGAAACGAAGCAAATCACGGCGGACAGAGAGCAAACATAAGCAATGCGATCCAAGAACTCAATTCGGAAAACAACCCAACATCAATCCCCCCAAAAGGAACAAAACCCAGAAATGAGTCGACAACCTGAGCAGCAAAACGACGAGCACGAGGAGGATTTTGGCTTTAGCGTGCAAGTGTGGTGCTGAAGTGGACATATGGTCGAGTGAAGATTTCCAAGAACGATACCACGACGGAGACGGAATTTATATTAAAATAAAAAAAAGCAAACACCCATCAAACGCGCCGTGTACGCGATCATTATCATCATCATCATCATCATCACCATCATCATCATCATTCAACCCATCCGAAAGCACAGACTAAAAAAAAAAGAAACACAGGAACACACCGCCGAAAGCCAAGAGCCCGCTATGAGAAAGCAAAGCATCGTCGGTCTAAATTTCGAACTCCCGACCCCGATCGCCCGACACCCATTTGGGGGGGGCGGATCCGGACGAAATCGTTCGTTGCTTGGGCTTCACAACTGACCCCCGATTGCTTCGCGAGACGGCACGAATCGAGGGATTTTTCTTTTGGGAAAAAGAGGCGAGAGGGAGATCAGAATCGCGCGAATAAAGCATTCAGAACAAGTTGATGATGAATATCCTTAAAGCAGCGAAAGATACGCGCTACAGAGATAGAGAGAGAGAGAGAGAATGGACTGACCCGAGAAGAACGACGAAGGAATGAAGTTCATGGCTTGCTCCTCCCACAGGGAGAGAGAGAGAGAGAGAGAGAGAGATGTCAGTGGAGGAATTTCTGCAAATATTTTAAGTTGACGCAAAGCCGGGAAGTGGAGTGGCTGGGAGACCCACGCGCGGCGCCGGCGAGAGGGAGCACGACGCGCGGGGATTGGGCTCGTGGGCCTGGGCCGGAGGAGATGGGGTCCGGTTCTCCTCGGGCCATGAGCCCGGCCCGGCCCAATTGATTGGGCCCGAGAGGGGTATGAGTGAGTGCGACGTGTGAGAGCCCCCCTTCCCGTTTCCGCCCTCCGAATTTGGAAGGACGCTATCGTGTTGGATAATTTGCAAGATAGGTTAAAGAATGATTTCCACTTTACTCGTAATTTAAAACGACCGCCGGATTCCGGTTGGCCGTTGAATCCGATCCACTTTCGGTCCAGGGCGGTACCTAAAATAGTATACGCGTCACCTAAAAATTGCCCAGGTGGCATCCCTGACTCGAACTTTTCGACGTGAATTTTAATACTAAATTGCAATTTCGCTGGAGGCTAGGGCTTGATCGAACCAATTGAAAGGTTCAGAACTCGATTGCAGTTTCCAGTAGAAGTCTAGTACTAAATTGAATAGAACGATAAGTTCGGGACTAACGGTGCAATTTTCTCACCTAAAAGCATATGAAGCTAACCCCCTTCTCAAGAAAACTATGCCCAATCACTTTGAAGAAGGAAAAAACTAAAAGAAAAGTTTGTGTTAAGCAATCCAAATGAACCCCAAATCATTCAAAATAATCTGAAAGAGAAAAACCCTTTAGATTACTGCCTCCACTTCCACCACACACCGCATGTAATTTTCTCAATCGGATCCTTACCAAAAATTTATGGGAGCGGTTCGCAATCAGGCCGGTACAGAAAAAATATAAAGTTACGTCACAATAATTAAAGTAATAACATCACATATCAAGGACCAAAATAGATTCTTGTCTAATGTATATGAACATATTCATATATGTTTTAGGCAATCTATGTACACATCTGAATAAGTAGTTGATCCGAGAATTCATGCTAAACACGAAAGAAAAAGAAGTGGGGGGAACTCCACCTGCTCATAGCCAATCTCTTGTGTTAACACGCATAAGAAATGGTAATGAAAGAATAGTCATTTCAAAAGTTTAGACATCTCTGTACTCCATTTGCCTTTTATTTAAATAAATATATTATCTGCCGGCTAGCTATTATTTTGCTCGATTAAATACACATTTTCTCTCTAATATTCAACAGCCTACAGAAATAGTCAACAGGACTTTGAGAAGAATCTCTGATGAAGATGCTTTTGATAAGCTCTTCCATCTTGTGGATGGAAAGTTTAATCTCAGCTTCTGATGAATACTGAAGATTTGTAGAGAGACTTAAAAATGTATCAAGACCCAATTCATGTATCCACAACAAGCAGATGCTGCTGAAATAGAAGAAAGTGAAACAGGGTAAAACCGTATGACACTGTGGATACAATCCATAGCTCACAGTAACATAACGTGCATGAATTGATACGAAGTGAAAGAAGCATGTACATCCGGTGAGAACTTATCTTGGGTGATCGCTGGCAACATTCTGCTTCGACCGAGGGCGGTGCGGGGGAGAACCGAACAAGACCAATATCGATCCTGCTCGCCTTCCGCCGGCAAGAAGACGCCATGGACGACGACCGAGGAATTGTCAGATGAGCTGGATCAGCACCACCACGCCGTGCCCACTTCTCCAGCCTATTTGTTTTAATTGATACTCCAGACTTGCTAGGGCTTTGAGGGGCGGTGCGGAGGAGAAGCATACAAGAGTGATATTGATTCGGCTCGCCTTCAACCCGGCAGAAACACCGCCCTGGGCGATGACCGCCGAGGAATCGACAGATGAGCCGGATCAGTACCACGCCGTGTCTACTTCTCCCAGTCTTTTTTTTTTCTTTCTTGTTTTTCAAAACTTGTTAGGGTTTCCTCCATGGATGGAGCAGCTCTTGGAGCATCCTCTCCTCTTCTATATATCTGCGTGTGGGGGGAGAGAAGACGAAGCACGGGGCTTCCGTGAGTAACAAGAGGACAAGAGAGGACATACCCATTATTGCAACGAAGCAATATATACTACAGAACGGAACTTTTTGCAAGCATGATATCGGGCATTTTAGGGATCCCGCTACCTATCGAACCCTTTTTCCACTGTTTCTCTTCTCAATTTTCGACAACAAAAGCATTAATAAAATGGCCTTTGGATCGTGGAAGTATACTATATTGCCAACCCACGTGAAACTGTACGGATTCGAATGCGCCAGGTCATGGATATGATGAAGTTGAAAAAGATACGTGTGTTAGGCCGCGTTTGGTAACGTTTTTATTTTCAGAAATAATTTTTTCTATTTCTATTCCATAGATGAGTTTCTGAGCAAAAAAGAGCATTTAGTAACTGTACAAAATATCTATTCACAGAATAAAAAAAAGAACAGAAATGCATTTGGTATAATTCTAAAAATTTCTATTCCTAATTTTTTTCATTTAATTATAAAAATATCAGTGAAGACTTAATAATTTATATTTGGATAAAACTAGACTAGAAATAGAATCAAAATATATTATGATATAGAATTGGACGACCTTAATACAATCATAAAGAAAATTACTCATCCTAGACAAAGCAAATATCAGGTGGTGGCCGAGGAAATTGGGGTTTAGGGTTTAGAATTTATGGTTTTGTGTTTAGGATTTGGGTTCGGGGCTTTGAGATTTGGGGTTTGGGGTTTTGGGTTTTGGATTCGGGTTTTTGGGTTTGGATTTTGGGGTTTTGGGTTTAGGGGGTTTGGGTTTTTGGGTTTCGGGTTTTAGGGTTTGGGGTTTAGAGTTTTAGGATTTAGGGTTTCGATTTTTGGTTTTGGGGTAGGGTTTTGGGGTTTGGGTTTGGGATTTAGGGTTTTGAGGTTTTGGGTTTCGGGTTTGAGGTTTGGGTTTTGGGGTTTCGGGTTTCGGGTATTAGGTTTTAGGGTTTCTAGTTTTGGGTTTTGGAATTTTAGGATTTAGGTTTTCGCTTTTTGGGTTTGAGATTTAGGGTTTTAAGGTTTGAGTTTAGGGGTTTTGGGTTTGGGTTTTGGGGTTTCGAGTTTTGGGTTTCGGGTTTTGGGGTTTCGAGTTTTAGGGTTTTGGGATTTAATGATATATGAAATTATTTCTCTAAACTGACATTGTTTCTCTTTTTGTTCTTGGGAACAGAAAAATAGATTTTTTTTACTTCTTATTTCTGTTCCAAATCTATTTCCTAGTCACTTTTCTATTCCCAGGAATAAAAAAATCAACTGACGTACACAAACGGATTTATGTTCTTTTTTCTATTCCAGGGAACAAAAGAATAGAAAAACAGAGAAACAGAAACGTTACCAAATGCGCCTTTACATACAGAGGAGTTATCCAACCGAACCAATAAAGTCATATAAAAAAAAAAACCTAGAAAGGGCCGGTCCTATGTCGTAGAAAAGGCTAAATTTTGTATATAAAACACCTCTCAGCTGATATAGATTATTTCGACATCGTTATTTTTCTTAGAAAAAGTATTTTTTTGGGTGAAATATTTATATATCTTAAGATGGTGGGTAGGATAATCGCATGAATTCTCTTGTTGTATTCTTAAATAGATAGTGAAATAATACCTCATATCGAGGTTTTAGGGGATCATGACACAAATAATACATGAACTTTGACCATTAGCCCCTAGATTATATGAAAGTGTTCAATGTTATCCTTCCATTAATTCAAGTTCATGGGCAGTATTGAACATTTTCATATAGTTTGAGGACTAGATTGAACATGTATCAAAAGTTCAGGGACAACATTGAACAAATTAAAAGTTTAAGGATAACACTGCACATTAGACTAAAGATTAAACACCACATTAAATAAATTAAAAGTTTATGGACCACATTGTACATTAATAAATTATTTTGGAGATATAAAAAAGCAAAAGTACAATTGGATTCTTAAAGATAAAGTTAAAAAATTACAAAAGATAATCTTCATCTTTAATTAGTTTATAATAAGATAAGAGAAAAAGGAAAAATGAAAAATAAATCAGATAAATCCCTATGTTTGTGGGAGGAAAATTGAATTTTTTTCATTTTTCGGGAAAAATGAAAAAAAAAAAAAAGTGGGCTCAACTGCCAATGCACCCCACATTAGTGCGCTTTAAAAGATGTGAGATTTTGCTCTTCTAAGTGAAATCTTAGTAACTTGGTAACATAAGGGAATTGCTTGTGAAGTTGGGTCGATTGTGAGTAATTACACTAGTCATTCTAATTAATCAGGTTACAAAAAGGACTTTAGGCAAAGGTGTGATTGCAAAAATAAAAAATTTACTGCTTAATAACACCTATGCCAACACTATTTACAATGTGTTTTCTTAAAGGTAGTTCAAGGTAATGCTGAGCATAAACGTTGCAGTAGAACTGTTCAAGAGGACTCCATTTGTTAAAATAAATGATTTGGAAAATATTTTCCTTGATTACTTGTATCACTTGAGATAATTAGGCAATAAAAATATTTTCATTATTGACAATAATTTATGTTTAAACACTTTCGTAGACGATGAATATATTTTTCATCCATTCATTTCTGTAAGCAATGAAAGTAATCATTTTTAGGAAAATATGTTTCGAATTATTTATTTTCTGCGAAACAAAGAGAGCCTAGGTGTCATTTGCTTATACACGTTGCAACTACTGCCGATTTAAACAGCAATTATAATTTGTCTTACTTTTGGAAATTCTTCAATGATACTAGTCGTGAAGGCTCATCTTTGATATGATTTTAGGCGACATTTCTTTTGGAACGTTATTTCTATAATTGTTTTTGCAAGTAGCAAAAAGTATATTAGCTCGAATAAAAGAAAACACGGAAGTACGATAGAATTATTTTAAACAAGACTTCGAT